TAATGGCTATATTGCTGGACTCCCATGTGGTCGACCGTGGTTCGAGTTCCGGACTCAGAGGCTTAAACTCATGCCGGGCATGTGTGTGTGTGTGCCAAAGATCCCGAGAGGAGAATGGAGGAGAAGGGATTGCGGCGTGGCCATCCCCCAGAGGGGTGATTTCTTGCTTTCTATCTCTCTGTCTCTCTCTGTCTTTCTGGCAAGCACATACTCCCTATAGCAAACAAAATAAATAAATAAATAAAAATAAAAAAAATAAAATAAAACTTTTCAAAAAAAAAAAAAACAAAACAAAACAGTTGTATATGAGGCATAAGAGCCGAAACATTCGGGGCCAGGTGGTGGTGCAGTGGTAATGCAGTTGGACTCACATGGGACAGGTACTGGGTTCATGTCCCAGGACCTCCCTGAGCATACTGGGAGCACATGCCCATGATCTGGGCTGGCTGAAGTAGGGGGTAGGTTATAGCATGAAGTCTTTCTCTCTCTTTTTCTCCTTCTCATGTGACCATGGTGGTAATGCCTCTCAAGATAAGCCAGAGTCCACATGGTGACTGTGATTTGAATCCTTGGCCTAGTCAGCCTGGAACAGTTCAGACATGTGAACTCCAAGATTCATCTGGAGGACTTGATAGAGGAAGGGGATTGCACCATGACCAGATCTAGAGGGTGTTTCTCTCTCTCTCTCTCATTTCTCACTCTCACATGTGTGCATACGTCTTTCTTCATTCATCTGTCATGGATACATAGGAACAAATATATATATGAAAGGTCTTAAACATCGTTCTCATTTGGTGCCTAAAAGGTGCTAAAATTAAACCAGTGTTCCTTCCAATGACTGCTTTTATGACACACTGGATCTAAAAGGATTTCCGAATGCAGAAAGCTGCCATCTGGCATTGAATTTGCTGTTTAGTGTAATTTTTGTTTATGGAAATAGTGATCATGGCACATTTGCTGAATCTTGGCAAGTACTCTTGGCACTGGTAGAATATTTTTATTAATTTGCAGATTGAGAGGATCCAGAATCCACATCTCTGGAGTAAATATCAGACCATGAAAAAAACAATGGATGCCAAAAATGGCCAGACAATGAATGAGAAACTCCTCTTTCATGGGACAGATGCAGACTCACTACCAAAAGTCAATGGACGTGGCTTCAACCGCAGTTACGCTGGGAAGAATGGTAAGGAAGCGAGTGGCCTGGCTGCTCCAAATGCAGTGGCAGCCGCAGGAGCCCACGCGGGCTGGGACAGTGTAGACAGGCTCACTGCATTCCCCCATAATTAGCGGCCGTGCCACAACCCACGTTTCAGGAAACTGCCCACTGTATGTCATCCCAAAGGGGACTGCCTGGCCCTCCAAGATGGAATGTTTGACCTTTAAAAATGAAAAACACACCCACAGATTTTTTAAAGATGCTCTAGAGAGAACTGAATGTTATTTACTATATTGGCCAACATGTCAAATCATATACTAAACTGAACTTCTTAAAAATGTATTTTTTTTCCTTGACAGCCACGGCATATGGACAAGGGACCTATTTTGCTGTTCATGCCAGTTATTCTGCCAACGATACATACTCCAGGCCAGATAGCAATGGGAAAAAGCACATGTATTACGTGCGCGTACTGACTGGAATCTACACGGTTGGGAATCACTCATTAATTGTTCCTCCTTCAAAGAACCCTCAAAATGTTACTGACTTATATGACACTGTCACAGATAATATGCAAAATCCACAGTTATTTGTGGTATTTTATGACTACCAAGCATACCCAGAGTACCTCATTACTTTCAGAAGATAACATTTTGATATCTTTCCCAAAAGACATTGTTCATCTATACATATCCGTGTAAATGAGTCTTAGCTTTTTTTCCTGTATTAACAACATTTTCTAAGACTAAAGGATTTTTCTGTGTCACTGAAACTCAGAGACTTTTCAGCTTCTCTTTCATAATATCATAAGCAAATAAATTTTAAATTTGAACTCAGGTAATGTGATTATTAACTTTTGTGTCCACACCTGGGGGGTCACCTATGTGAACAAAGAAGAACAGAGCTGCATTTTCAGTGAGGAGAGAGTAAGAGTCTTTCAGAGAGAGGGCACAGTCTGCAGTTTCAGCCGCCACCGCAGAGACAGCAGGGATGCCATTGGACGCCACAGAGCTCCGGGGAGCACAGTTACTACTGAGTGGGCGGGGCTGCTCTTACATGTCCCGATCCCTGCATCTGTGCCTGATGTACAAAAACTGAACTTCTTAAAAATGTATTTTTTTTTCTTGACAGCCACGGCATATGGACAAGGGACCTATTTTGCTGTTCATGCCAGTTATTCTGCCAACGATACATACTCCAGGCCAGATGGCAATGGGAAAAAGCACATGTATTACGTGCGTGTACTGACTGGAATCTACACGGTTGGAAATAACTCATTAATTGTTCCTCCTTCAAAGAACCCTCAAAATGTTACTGATTTATATGACACTGTCACAGATAATATGCAAAATCCACAGTTATTTGTGGTATTTTATGACTACCAAGCATACCCAGAGTACCTCATTACTTTCAGAAGATAACATTTTGATATCTTTCCCAAAAGACATTGTTCATCTATACATAACCGTGTAAATGAGTCTTAGCTTTTTTTCCTGTATTAACAACATTTTCTAAGACTAAAGGATTTTTCTATGTCACTGAAACTCAGAGACTTTTCAGCTTCTCTTTCATAATATCATAAGCAAATAAATTTTAAATTTGAACTCAGGTAATGTGATTATTAACTTTTGTGTCCACACATGGGGGGTCACCTATGTGAACAAAGAAGAACAGAGCTGCATTTTCAGTGAGGAGAGAGTAAGAGTCTTTCAGAGAGAGGGCACAGTCTGCAGTTTCAGCCGCCACCGCAGAGACAGCAGGGATGCCATTGGACGCCACAGAGCTCTGGGGAGCACAGTTACTACTGAGTGGGCGGGGCTGCTCTTACATGTCCCGATCCCTGCATCTGTGCCTGATGTACAATGCATGCTTTGTAAACGTTTGATAAGCCAACTCAGAATCAAAGTCTGGTTGTACTCCCCAGAGCAGGAATCTTTTCTGCAACACCCTTGACTTATGGCCACAGCCTTATGTTGAACAGACTCCATGACAGGGAACTTCTTTCTTCACAAACCACCCCACAATGGCCAGGGCTCTGGGGTGGCAGTACACATGCACCCTGCATGGCCCAGGGCTGGGATTCAGCTGTGGCCCAGGTGAGTTGTGGCCCATGAAGCTGTGCAGCACAGCAGCCCGATCCAGCTGCAGGGGTCCTTCTAGCTGCAAAGACATCTTTCTTAATGTTGACCCAGGATCTGCCTTCTCATATTGCTAACTTATCCTCATTGGTCTTAGTTCTGCTCAGTAAGAGCAACAGAATAATGCGTGCTCCATCTTCAGTGTGAAGCCCTCCTACAGCGCTAAGATTAAGTGAACTGTAGGGTTATGAAAAAGTATCTACTAGATGGTGAAGTTGTGTGGTTTTCTTCTTCTCTTCCCTCTTCTCTTGTCTTTTCCCTTCTCTTCTCCCTTCCCTTCTCCTCCTCTCCTCCCCTCTCCTCTCCTCCCCTCCCTTGTTCTCTCCTCTCCTCCCCTCCCCTCTCTTCCCCTTCCCTGTCCTCCTCTCTCCTCCCCTCTCCTCTCTTCCTCTTTCATCTTCTCTCATCCCCTCTCCTCTCCTCCTTTTTCCTCCCCTCTCCTCCTCTTTCCTCTCCTCTCCTCTCTTCCTCTTTCATCTTCTCTCATCCCCTCTCCTCTCCTCCTTTTTCCTCCCCTCTCCTCCTCTTTCCTCTCTTCTCCCCTCTCCCTGATCCTCTCTCTCCTTTCCCCTTCTTCTCTTTCTTTCTTTTTTTTTTTTTTTTTGTGCTAATGGGTGTGTGTGCTTGCCAGAGAGAGGTAAATTGAGAAATCACTCCCTAGGGGTGGCCATGCCAAATCCCTTCTCGTCCATTTTCCTTTGGAGATTTTGGAAGCAAATACATATGCATATGGCGTGATTTTTCAAGCTACCAGGTCTGGGACTCGAAAGGTGCAGTCAACCATGGTCAGCCACGTGGAATCCAGCTACCTTAACCTCCACACTACCTATGGGTAAATATCAGATTCAAACACCATTTATTGAGCACCTAGATTGAAACAGGGAGTACAAAAGGCAATTTCATGATTTATTTTATCCTCCCCAAACAATCCTATAAGATTGCAATCTTAAGAATTATATTGGTATTTTAACTTAGAGCAGGCAAAGGAACCTGCATCCCTAGGATATCAAGACCCTTTCTCTTCCCACTACAGAACATGACTTCTAGGCTAAAGGCAGTAATTCAGGAACATCTTAGATGATCTGCAAAATTCTCCCGTGTTTCCTTAGATTCCTTTCCTTCAGGCTTTGGTTTCTATTGTAGTCTCTGTATGCCAGGAGACTAGAACTGCTGCAGATGGGGAGCCAATGCAGAAGGCATACTTGGACACTAGGGGCGCTGGGAGGATAAAGGCATTCCCCTGGCGGCTGGGAACAACCTGTTCAAGCGAGGAGGCTGATGGGGCCACAGCTGCCTAACATGGACGTTTTGAAATCTCTCTTGCATTTTTTTTTTAATTAAAAAACTTTTTTTTATGTATTGGCTTCCTAACACACTGGTATCTGAACTCAGTATGGACGATGGATGTAGGAAATTGGAATCAAACAGCAGTTGCTCTCACTAGCTTTCGTGCTCCAGGAGCTTGGATAGTGCAGGGCAAGGCTGAATAGCAGGGTGTACCGCACTGAGGGAAATGATCCAGCCAGTAAATGTTACAGTGATCCTCACTCAGATAAGTCAAATATGCCGTGTTCCTCCTTTTTGAATAACGTACCTGAAAAATGCCATTTGGCAACAAACATTTTTATCCTGAAGGGCAAGGACAGGGGAGCTTAATGATAAACACAGGCCACCACTGATAAAGGGCCACAGCTAAACCCAACAGCATCAAGGGAGCCTGAGTATGACAATACTGGAAATGGAATATTAACAGTTGGACACTGCAAGAAGGGGCACAGCACAGGTACAGTTTAGCAGTCTGAAGGGCAAGTTGACCCCAGCAAGTGGACCCACCTAAACAAGCCCACTCTGAGCTTGTGACAGGGCTTGTTGTTTTCCTGAATGGTCAGAGATTCTTAAAAGGTTTTGGTATTTGCATCGCCTGAAGCGTTTGCTGAACTGCAAGTTCTTGCCCTGTCCCAAAGGCATCAGGCTGCAGCTCTCAAGTGGTTATCTTGAGAACCTGCATCTTCAGCAGACACCTCAAGTGAGCCTGATAACGGCTGCATTAGGACTTCCATGGGTTCCAGGCACTTGGCCTTTGTGGGCGCCTACTGTATAAGATTAAAAATTATACTTTGGGGGGTCAGCAGGTGGCATAGGGTTTAGGGTGCTGGATTCCTACATGGCTGACTGTTGTTTGAGCCCCAGACCTGGCAGCTTGAAACACGCTAGGCACATGTGTGTGCAAGCCCAAAATCCAGAGAGGAGAATGGAGGAGAAAGGACTGTGACGTGGTCGTTTCCCCTGGGGGGGGGTGACTTCTCACTTTATTTCTTTCTGTCTTTCCAGTTAGCACATGCACCCTATAGCAAAACTCTCTCTCTCAAAAAAAAAAAAAAAAAAATATATATATACATTGCAAGCCAGTAGGTGGCATGGTGGCTAAAGTGCTAGACTCCTGCATGGACGACTGAGGTTTGAATCCCGGACCCGGCAGCCTGCTTTCACACTCCTCACCTCCATTTCTCTCTGGTGAGCACATGTGTCTGTCTTACAGCAAATTTAAAAATAATGATAATATTAAGTAATTCTTTTTGAAACATTATACTTTGCAGCTGCATTGATATGAAGTGTCACCAGGGTCTATTATCATCTTTTCTCCTCCCACTCCAATTTTAAAAAGAAACTAAAACATTTCTGTGGGTCCCGAGAGCACCGATGGCCCCAGCCATTCTCCCTATTGTGCCTGCGGGGTAAGTCACCCTGCTGATACCACGAGGCTGTGACGGCAGGCACGAGCCTGGGGTTGTGTACTTTAGCTCCTTTGGCATCTGTAAGGTCAAAGTATTAATATTTATTTAGTCATTGGTTTTCCTTGCTCCTTCATGCTCACCTGTGAAATGCAGGATGAAATGGGACGAGGCTACCTGGAGGACTGACAGGCACTTCCTCACTCTCACAGTCCCTCTTGGCAGACAGCCAGGCTCTCTTGCCACGTCGCTGTCTCTATACAGTCATGACGTCCATCCCCCAAACCTGTTTATACTTAGAAATCTGTTTCTGCCAACGTCTTCACTCTCTCCCCAGGTCTCTGCATGCCAAAGACGACTGCTCAGGGAAATGCTTTCTTTCAGAATGGGTTTCAAACTTTTTTCACCCCAACATAAACTAAGAAACTCATTTTATATCAGGCCCAGTACATATAGATATAACTGAAAAGTTTTATAAAATGTACTTTCCCTGGGGCTGGCAGGGGATGTGGTAGTTAAGGCACTGGACTCCCATGTGAACTATGGTTCAAGTCCTGGACCTGGTGGCTTGCTTTCTCACTTTTCCTTTCTCTCTCTCTCTCTCTGCTAAAATTAAAAAATAACAAGAATAACAAATGGAATTAAGTAAATAAATAACATTTTCCAGGAACATTTTGTGAAGTACTATTGCAATTTACTAGAATTACCTATAGACAGTTTTGACTGCTTGAATATTTACGATGTGCTAAAATTATTCAGTGACTTTCTAGCGGAATTGTTTGGTAAGTTGCAATTCTCTGAAATTATCCAGAAATCATTTTGACTACTTGAACAGTATTTTTTAATTGCCAGAGGGCAAGTGTGCTTGCCAGAGAGAAAGAGCAAGCGAGAGAGTGCTGTCTAATAGGGAAGTCATGCCACAATCCCTTTGTAAAGGGACAAGTACTGAATATTTTTGGGTTCCTGGGCCATTCGGTCTCTGTTGCTACTCTACTCTGCCACCGTAAACAACATGTGTATAAAGTTGTCACAGACATTATGTAAATGAATGGTGTGACTCTGCTCCAATAAGTTACTACTTACAAAGATAAGCAGCCAGTTGACCATTGGCTGAGGCAGATGAAAAGATCACTTTCTATTGGGAACACGTGGGACATTGAGACAGGAGAGGAAATACAAAAGCAGCAAAGAAAGAAGACCAATAAATAAAACAGAGCCAGTCTGGCCAAGCAGCAATATGCATGAGAGAAGGCAGCACTAGGCCGACCGTTTTTTTCCTTTTTGCCATAGGGCACATGCATTCGTCAGACAGAATGAGAGAGTGAGAGAGAGAGAAAGAGAGAGAAAATGCACCCCTCAATGGGGCACGCCCACACTGAATCCTTTTTTCTCCTTTTTCCATCCCACCAGGATTTGGGGCATGTACACAAATGTGCCCAGCAGGTTTTTCAAGCTGCTGGGGCTGGGACTTGAACTGCAGTCAGCCATGTGGGATCCAGCTCCCGATGTACATTATGGGGCTGGCCCCAGATGGACATTTAATTAGGTAAGAGTTAAGGACATTGTCAAGCTTGTGCAAATTGACCTTTCATTGGTCCAACTTTTATTTTAAAATTATACTGTATTTAAAAAAATAAATGTTTAAAGTATTATTTAAAAAGTCACAGTCTGTAAGAATCACACATTTCTTCCTTGTATCAGAAGTTGTGCCACCATCCTGGTCACCTGTGGGTTCACCAGGCAGTCGAGCAAGTCGTCTGTAGAAATGAGTGACTGAGAAGGGGCCGTGGCGTTACTGTATGCAATCTGTTTCACAACTGCATTCTCGCTTTTGCTTATCGTTTGTTGCTTCTCGGCTTGATGTGATTTTCCGAAGTGTTCTCCATCTCTGTCGACAAAGTCTTGACCATCACTTTCACAGATGCCTTCTCTTTCCGAAGGTGTTACAGGAACCAGATCAGGGCCAAAGGCACTTGCTGCTCCCATGGTTACGCTCTGGCCACGTGTTCGTCCCCCCTCCCAGTGGTCGCACACATTCAGTCCTTCCTTTCTCGCGTGTTCCGTGTTTGTTTGCAGAGCTGAGGTTTCTACTACGTTAGATGTTCTGTAGTGATCAAAGAAAGCAGAAACTGCTCCATTTAAGTAGCGACAATTGACGTCATGAGATGTTTCCTCGACCTAGGGGAAAAGAAAAACCCTTTAGAATGGCTACACACATTTAATTTGTTGAGAAAACCATTGTTCTAGCCAGACTTGACTAATCACAGGACACCAACTGCTCTGATGAAAACCAGAAGCGGCCTACCTCAGTTGGGTTCAGCCAAGCCCTGGTATTGTGCGGATCCTCTGCGGTCTTCAGGGCACACACAAGCGTGCGGGTGATTGCCTCTTCCACCCGGGCGAAGTGGTCCTCTTCCTAAGTTGAGATAAAAAAAATAGACATTTTAATCATTTGTCTCTGGGTCTCATGGCTTAAAAGAGAGACGAGAATCTCTTAATTGGGCCTTCTGTTCTCATCAATACATGAGATTTTCAAAAAGGTCGTGGAACATGTGTATTATGAAAAACTGCATGGATTTCAAAAAGTGGAGCTCATAGAATAGAGAGCAGAAAAGTGGTTGCTGGAAGCTGGGAAGGGGATGGGGGAGACTGAGAGAGTTTGGTGGACGGATACAACATTTTAGCTAGATAGGAAGCAGAATTTTAGAGTTCAATAACACTGTACTGTAACTATGTGGAACAAATTATTATATATTTCAAAAGAGCTAGAAGAAAGGATTTTGAATATTCCCAACACAAAGAAACAGTAGGTGCTTGAGGTGCTAGACATGATAATTACCCTGATTTGATCACTACATACTGTGTACATGTATCAAAGTATCATACCGTAGCCCATAACACTGTACAATTATTACTTGTTAATTTAACATAATAACAAATTTAAAAAATTATTTTTTTGTTTAAGCAGAAGGAGGAGGATAGTGAAGGAAAAAGACAGGAATGGTACAGGGAGGACCACCCGCAGAAGCCAACTTTTAGTGATGCTCTATTTCTGGGGTTAGGTGATGAGTTCACTGGTATTCATTCCATTATCATCCTTTACAGCTTACAAATATGTACAAATATGTTCTTTTGTATGTATAACTATAATAAAAGAAATAATAAAGGACATTTTGTAAGAATGAGAGGAAAGTCTTTAAGAATTAACAGAAATAGTTTCAAAGAAAGTCAAGAAAAAAATACTGGTAAGATATAGCTCCATACTCAAAGAAAAAAGGTGAAAAGATACCACTGAGAAGAACTAAAAATTTATTTTATCTTCAGAATATATTAGAACAGACAGAATTTGCATTTTTTTGACAGAAAAACCAAGAGAGGATAGATATCACACCACCCAAAGAGAAGGAGTCACGACTCTTTGCCCAGTTTGTGTGACTATGACAGCGATATCAGAACACGGAGTTAACCTGAGTTACACGGGAAGGGTAGGCTTTAAAACCTAAGAGGCTTTTTTCAGCTAACTTTGGTAACAAGCATGAATTATGGTCTAATGTTCAAAGAGACAATGACAAAAGCAACACATTATGGAAGAAGATACAATCACTCAGTTCCTACTCTGCATTCAGTTTTATTTTTTCTAATTTTTTTGTTTTTGAAGAGGTTTTTTTTTTTTTTTTTCTTTGCTATAGGGTGTGTATACTCACCAGAAAGACAGAGAGAGACAGAGACAGAAAGCGAGAAATCGCACCCCAGGGGAGATGGCCAGGCCATGCTGCAATCCCTTCTCCTCCATTCTCCTCTCGGGATCTTGGGCACGCACGCACACGTGCCCGGTGTGAGTTTAAGCCACCGGGTCCGGGACACGAACCACGGTCGACTACATGGGAGTCCAGCGACATAGCTATTACGCCAACTACTGGTCCCTGCATTCAGTTTTTCAAGAAACAATAAATGCTTCAAACTGTAAAGTCTATAGAAAGAATTTAAAGAAGTATCTGGAGTCTTAGTTTGGTGAAGGACGGAAATCATCCACTCTGAATCAGCATCAAGCCCTTAGGTACTAAAGTGAAAAGTACCACCTTGGAGTCTGTTTATACTCAATGATACCAAACCTTTGGAAATGTCCAGAAGAAACCACTAAACAGATAGTATATAACAAGATGTTCAAAAGACAGTGGTGAAGGCTCTCAAGCTCCTGAGGCCATATAAATTCAAATGTAAATAAAATATGAGCAAACAGTACATTAAAAAAAATAGCACAACATAATCAAGCAGGCTTTGTTTTAGAAACTAAGGATAAATCAGAATTAGGAAATCAACTCTTATAATTTAGCGCAATACCAGACATTTACTAAAATACTTTTGTGATTATCTCCATTGATGCTTAAAAGGCATCCAACAGAAGTCGGCACTTTTTTTCTAATTTTAAAATACAAAAAGTAATAAAATAGGAATTGAGGGATACTTAGCAATTGAGCCCTAAATTTAGTATTTTACTGAAAGGGAAATCATAAGTTCTCTCTAAAGTCAGGAATAAGACAAGGATGCCCACTATCTCCTCTACCTTTTTTCCCTGTTTTTAAAGATAGGGTCTTGCTGTGTCACAAGTCTGCCTCGGCCTCTCAAGCAGCTAGGATCACAGGCACACGCCGCCATGCCCGACCTTTCAGACAGGGTCTGTGTTGCCCAGGCCAGCCTCCAGCTTCCAATCTTCCTGCCCCAGATTCCTGCAATCTTCCTAATTCCAGATTCCCAAGTCTCTGGAATTACAGGCACTTGCTACCATCACTAGCCTTCAGGTTGGATCTGGAATCAGACCTGAGCCTCACATGGGGCCCTCACTTGTGAACACAGTCTTAGCATTGCCCACCATCAAGGCTGGCCTCCACTATTACTAATATTGAGCTGGACATATTACTTAATATAATCAGACAAAAGAAAATGATTACAGGCAAACAAATCAGAAATGAAGAGGGGAAACTTTCTTAATGTTCAGGTAACCTGAGAGCTATCAGGAAACCCAAAAAAGTAAAAAGAAAAAAAAATTACTATAAATACAAATAATTCCAGTGAACACAAACCCTATAGCCCTCATATACACTAAGAATAGTTAGAAAATATAATGGGGGGCCAGCAGATGGCGTGGTGGTTAAGTGCTGACATTCTCACATGGTTGACCAGGTTCGAGTCCTGGACCTGGTGGCTTGTTTTCTCACTTTCTGTCTCTCTCTCTCTCTTCCTTTCTGTGTCTCTCTCTGGTCAAATGAAAATAAACAAATGAAAAAAATAAACTAAATATATAATTCCTTAAAAAAAAAAAGGAAAATATAATGGAAGAAAAGACCTTACCTAAATAGCAAACAAGATGAAATATTTTGGAATAAACTTTAAAAAGAAATGTGCAAGACTGGCCGTGTAGCCTAATAGTTAAGGGAGCCAGATCTCACAAGGCACCTGCTATTCAAATCCAGTCCCAGTGGTTTGAGAAGCACACTGGGCACGAGCGTGTGTGGTATGTGTGGGGTGTGTGTGTGTGTGTGTGTGTGTGGATACCACAAGACGTGACGGGAGGGAGAACAGGAGGAGAAGAGATTGCAAAGTGTTTTGTCTCCACCCCACCCCCACATCTGGCAAATGCACACACCTACTAGCAATTAAAAATGTTTTTTAATGAGTAAAGGCAGGCCAGCAGATGGCATGGTGTTTAAGGTGCTGGACTCCCACATGGCTGACCATGGTTTGAGTCCTGGACCAGGTGGCGTGAGAATCACACCAGACACATATGCATGTGTGCCCAAAATCCCAAGAGGAGAATGGCGAAGGGACTGTGGTCATTCCCTTGGGCAGTGATTTCTCACTTTCTCTCTCTCTGTCTCTGGAAAGTACCCTATGGCACAAGCTAAAAAAAAAAAAAAAAGAAAAACCTATGTAAAAAAAATGCTAACCATCCCTGTAATTGAGCCAGCAGGTAGTATGGAGGCTAAGGCAGCTGGACCCCACACGGTCGATTGTATAATTTCAGTCCCGCACCAAGCTGCCTGAAAAACACACTGGGTGTGTGTGCATGCATGCCCAAAATCTCAAGAGGAGAATGGAAGAGAAGGGACTTTGCTGTAGTCATTCCCCCCCAGGGGTGATTTCGCCTCTCTCTCTCTCTCTCTCTCTCTCTCTCTCTCTCCTTCTCTGTTTCTCTCTGCCAAGTCCTATAGCAAAACATGTCCTACAGCAAAACTAAACAAACCCCCCAAAACAAAAAACCTCACTCTTATAACAAAGAAAACTAGACTTGAACAAGTGGAAAGTCATCTCATTCTTGGAGAGAACAATTCAACATATAAAGTTTAGATGAGTTGATTTTAAAGAAAAACAAATGTAAGAATAGCCAGGGGAATACTGCAAGAGAAAACAAGGAGAGAAGTTAGCCCCACAGACATTATAAACTTACTCTAAGACCTTTCCAAAAAGCAGGCTGGAAGTGAGGAAAGCACAGGCAGAAAGACCGACAGAAGAAACAGACCCGCATGTGTATAGATACCTAGAATACGACTAAGATGACATTTCAAATTACCAGGGAAAGAACAGACTTTAAAATAAAGTACGTCCCTGACAATCTTATTACCATTTAGAAAAAGATAAAATTAGATCTCTACATTAAATTATGTACTAGTGAAACCCTCCAAAGGGATAAGAGATCTCGACGCGAACATGAAAGGTGCTGATTCCAAGATGAAGTCGTTCTTGTCAGGCCCGTACAAACCGGAGCCGACAGCTCATGAGAGGGGACGCTCAGGATCGTGTGGCTGAGATAAAAACTGTCTCAAGGACTTTATAAAAACTCCAAAGAAATTCCCGCATTCTCATGCTTCACACACTCCGCACTATGCACATATTTCTTTGGCAAGTTTACAGCTGGATGCAGCAATTCAGATAAGATGCTCTCAAAGGGTACTCTGTCCCTAAACAGCGTCTCCAGTCTCCACCAATGAGCTGACGCCAACTCCTGCCTTAAGCACCAGAGACCAAAGTCCTTTATCCCAACTACTTTATGTAAATTTCTTCTTTCTGCCAACAAAAGTTCCTCTTACTCTCTCTTTTCTGGATGTACCTGTGACATGCCATAGCTAAGCATCTGAATTACAATCCTTTTGCTTATTCCTGAATAAACTCATTATATCTGGAGAACGTTTCTTTTCTCCCCCCCTTTTTTTTTAAGAGAGAGAAATTTTTGCTATACGGTGTGTGCACTTTCTGGAGAGACAAGAGACAGAGAGAGAGAAAGCGAGAAACACCCCCCAGCAGGGATGGCCATGCCACAGTCCCATCTCCTCCATTCTCCTCTTGGGATCTTGGGCATGCATGCATACACGCCTGGCATGAGTTTTAAGCTGCTGGTACTGAGACTGAACCATGTCGACT